GCCCAACATTTGCTTCAATTCTCATGTAGTGTCCATCCTTCAGTTTAATTCTTAAAGATACATTTGGAGTTTTTACTATTTTTGGTTTCGTGGATCCAAAGGTGACAAGTGATATTTCCTCTGTTCTTTTTCTTTTCAAATTCAATCTTGAAGCTAATTCCTCCGTAACATACGTTCTTTGAGATCCAGAGTCCATGAGAATTCTGATTGTTTCAAATATCGATCCAATCAGATCTGATGCATCAATTTTTGCAGTTTGCATTAGGACCATACTTCCTGATGACAGTAGGCTGTTTTCTCGAACATTGTTAACTGTTTCTGAGTCACATAGTTCAGAGGATTCAACAAAGTGTGAGTTTTCTTGTTGCAGAGACTTCGGTGATGTTTTTTTGTCTGATGGCAATGGAAACATGGTTTGTCGACTTTGCAGTCCTTGCTAAGATGACCTGGCAAAAGACAAATGTAACATCTTCCCTTAATCTTCTGTTTTCTGTCTTCAACTGTCCTGAATTCTTGGCATTCATCACTCCACTGATTTTGTTCACAGAAGATACAAATGGGATACTTTCTTTGAATTTTGTTTCTTCTTGGAGATTCTTTAAATGATGTTGTTAAGGCTTCCGCAGATGTATGTTTTCTTTCATGTTCATATACCATTCCAGGTGATGGGGGTATTCTAGCAGGTTGTTCTTCACGACCGGCTAGGTTTTCCATATCTGTAGACTCTCTGGTTGCTATGAGTTATCAAGAAACATTCTCAGCTTTTGCACAGTCCACTTCTCTTTCTTTCCTTTCTGTATTTCTAATTGTAATCTGGCTTCTTTTGGTTACTTTGTTATAATCATGGAAACAAAGACATCCTGGTTTACGTCCTGTTTCGATGCTTCTAGGCTGCGCATATGCTTTTCTAAATCATCAAATAGTCTACGGAGACTGGAAGTATTATTGAGTGCAGGCTTAATGTTTATAAGGTCCACGTAATGTTTGTTAATTACAGACTGCACATCGTTCCGAATCGTTCTTTCAATATGGAGAGAGCTACATCAAAATTTTCATGGGAGAGCATGAGGCCGGAAATAGCAGATTGTGCCTTTCCTTCCATTCTACTTTTCAAGTAGTTGAACTTCTCAATACTGGAAAGTCTTGTGTTTTTGTGTACTGAAGCTTTAAAGGAGTCCCAGAACTCTTTCCACTTTAACTTGTCTCCGTTGAATGAAGGGAGCTCAAACTTTGGTAGTTTAACTACTGGAGTCTCTTTGCAAATCTTTTCCTTTCTGTGCAGTTCCTGAATTTGGAGTTCTTGGAAATGCATCAGTTGTTCCTGCATTTTTGTCTGCAGATCTATCATGTGGTCGATTCGTGGGTCATTTGGTGCTTCACTTTTCATATATGGAATGTCCACTTGTTCGTCTTTTTTCCAATAGTAGAATTTCTTCTGAGCGCTCTGTAACATCTGTGAGCAATTCAAACAACTTCTCACTATCTTCTGTAAATTTTTCAATTTCAGACTCATTGTCTTGTTCTGATTCCAAGGCAATAGAAAATTCTTTCATCGATTCTTCTAATTAGCACCAAAGTCCTTTAACCGTCTCAAGGAAGATTGAATCTGCCTTATCCTGGTTGTCAAATCCTCTTCTTCAGCTTCTGAAGAAAGAAATGTCTTACTTTTGATCATTTCCTTCAGCAGTAGATTCTTGTACCTTGTACAAAGTCCTTTCAAGTATGAGGTTGACATCTTCTTCTTTTCCGTGATAAATTCTTGATTTCAGGCTCCAATTCCCGGGTTCCGGCACCAAACAATGTGGCAAATCACAATCACGCGGAAATCTTCTTTTACAATTTATTATGACGATTAAAGATAAATAACAAATCCTCAAGGGTTAACAATCACAATACCACATTGGCTAAGATAATGAGATGGTTTCTGATATGTACTTAGTCTTTCTTCTATCTAAACTCAATGTAAACTCAATCAACTGAATGAATCAAGATCACAAAAACTCTCATATATATAGTATTGAAGAAAAATCTGGAAATAGAAACTTCTATAAAATTCTAGGTAATTATATTCAAACATATTCTACAGACTTCTTGAGAATTCATTCATGAAACATATAGAACATTCTAGATTATACATGTACATCATTAAATTTCTATATTTATAATTGCAACAGTTCGCAACAATTGTGTAATCATTTACATGCATCATAATACACTCATTAACTCTGAACCTTTATTAAGTGTCTTTGAAATATTTTTTTATATAGTTTAATTTGCATTGTAGAATCTAAATTCAATGTTAAAACTTAAAAATGATGCAGAATTTTAGAAATAAAGATCCAGACTAAAATCGACTCAAAAGCACAGGATCGAACGTCCTTAAATGAATGGAACAAAATTTTATTTTTAATGAGTCATGTACATTACTGAATACTCATGACACCTTTTTTTGCAGGATTACCGGTATTATATGGTAATATATTACAAGACAATTTAAAAAAAAAAAAAAATTTCAGCTATTGCTGTATAGAAACTTTAGCAATATATGTACTTATATTTAAGCAAGAATCACATTTTTGCAAGCAGGCAGTTCAATTTTTTCAAGAAAATAAGGTTATCTCAAACAAGAGGCCCAGGGGCCACATCGCTCACCTGAGCACATCGGCTAAGAAAAAAAAAGTACAAATCAGATCAGAATTGAAAAGATTACTGAAAAGGGGGGGGGGGGCTGAATTCTAATACTACTTGAGAATGCCTCCATGTCAATACAGCATATAACTTTGCTGTTCTTGAGCAAAAGATTTTTATTTATTTTTTAAAACATTTTGTTATATGGATCTTGAGAAGATTTTTAAAGATTTTCCCCATAAATTCTTGTGTAAAACTTTGATTGGCCATTGTGGCCCCACCCTACCCACGGGGGTCATGATTTGAAGAAACTTGAATGTACACTAACTGAGGATTATTCAACATTAGTTTCATCTTTCCTGACCCTATGGATCTTGAGAAGAAGATTTTTAAAGATTTTCCCTATAAATCTCTATGTAAATCTTTGATTGGCCATCGTGGCCCCACTCTACCCCAGGGGGTCATGATTTGAAGAAACTTGAATGTACACTACCTGAGGATGATTCAACACGAGTTTCATCTTTCCTGTCTCAATGGTTCTAGAGAAGAAGATTTTAAAGATTTTTCCTATATATCCCTATGTAAAACTTTGATTGGCCATCGTGGCCCCACCCTACCCCAGGGGGTCATGATTTGAACAAACTTGAATGTACACTATACCTGAGGATGATTCCACACGAGTTTCATATTTCCTGTCTCAATGGTTCTAGAGAAGATTGATTGATTGTATTGTTTAACGTCCCTCTCGAGAATTTTTCACTCATATGGAGACGTCACCGTATGCCGGTGAAGGGCTTCAAATTTAGACCTATACTCGGCTCTCAGGGCCATTGAGCAGTGAGGGTTCTTTATCGTGCCAGCGCCTACCGTGACACGGGACCTACGTTTTTAAGGTCATATCCGAAAGACCCGTGACTTTCACTTCTGATGCCGTCATGCCGAGCGCTTGGTGAAGGAACAGTCACTACCTATTTTTACGTCTTAGGTTTGACGCGGCGCCGCGAACGGGAATCGAACCCCGGGCCTCCCGATCACAAAGCGAACGCTCTACCACTAGGCTACCGTAAACGGTTTCTAGAGAAGAAGATTTTAAAAGATTTTTCCTATATATTCCTGTGTAAAACTTTGATTGGCCATCGTGGCCCCACCCTACCCCAGGGGGTCATGATTTGAACAAACTTGAATGTACACTATACCTGAGGATGATTCAACATGAGTTTCATCTTTCCTGTCTCAATGGTTCTAGAGAAGAAGATTTTTAAATATTTTTCCTATATATTCCTGTGTAAAACTTTGATTGGCCATCGTGGCCCCACCCTACCCCAGGGGGTCATGATTCAACAAACTTGAATGTACACGACCTGAGGATGATTTCACATGAGTTTCATCTTTCCTGTCTTAATGGTTCTTGAGTAGAAGATTTTTAAATATTTTTCCTATATATTACTATGTAAAACTGTGATCGGCCATTGTGACCCCACCCTTGCCCCCGGGGGTAATGATTTGAAGAAACTTTAATCTTTACCACCAGAGGATGCTTATACATGAGTTTCATCCTTTCTGCCCCAGTGGTTCTTTAGAATAAGATTTTTTTTTTAAAATGCCATTAATTTTTCTCTTATTCATAATTATTTCCCCTTGGAAGAGGGCGTGGTCCTTCATTTGAACAAACTTGAATCCCCTTTACCCAAGGATACTTTGTAGCAAGTTGAAACTGGTCCAGCGGTTCTTGAGAAGAAGTTGGAAATGTGAAAAGTTTACAACAACAACGACAACGACAACGGCGACAAACAGCAGACAAATTTTGATCAGAAAAGCTCACTTGAGCCTTCGGCGCAGGTGAGCTAATAAAAAGTGATTTAGAAATTGAAAAGTACAAAAAAAATATAAGACCTGTATTTAAAAATGTGTGTCAAGTTCGTGAGTTAGTCGAGGCCTATTACCATTGTCCACTTAACACCTTGATATTTACACGTACATTTTGTCCAGTGTGCCTGTTAAAAATATTTTTAAATATTGAGATGTTCTATAAATTACCCTGAATGATTAAAGCAAAGGTGCAGAATATTAAAACCTTCAGACACATAAATTTTGTTTCCCTTGAATCAATTCAAAATTATTTCGTTATACCTGGATTCACATCTTTAAATTCCATAACATTGAATTGCCTGGAGGAAATGAGAAATGTAGTGAATGATACAATGTGTAACAAAATTATAATCTGTCTATACAGAAAATCAGTACTTTCTGATGTGACCCTCGTTCAGAATACGTACACTGATGAATAATTAACGTAGTGAGCAGTGGACAATATGGTCATTTTTTTTCAACGTAAAATGTTGACAAATTGCATTGTTATGTATACCAATCAGCTAAACACACAATCGATGGATTCTGCACGTTTTTTTTTTCAGTGATTAAAATACAGAGGATTTGTCAATACTAGCTGTTAAATAAGAGAACATGAAGGCTTCAGATTTGACCGTGCTGGCGATATTTTACACAATTATTGGACGTGTATCAGGACAATCGGGGACAGACATGAGAAATCTATATACCTACCTCTTTACGACTAGTGGCTACAACAATAACATACGTCCGGTTGTGAACCAGAGTGTACCTACACAGGTATCAGTAGACCTTCTGTTGACAGGTCTTCTTGGGATAGACGAAGCTAAGCAGCAAATGGGATCTGTCGGTACTCTAACTATAAAATGGCGGGACGAATTCCTCTCTTGGACCCCGTCATCTTATGGAGATGCAATGTATTTTGATCTTCCACAAGATCTTATTTGGAAGCCGGATTTACAAATTTTCAATGGCCTGACTGACTTTACTAACTTGGGTGGAAGTTTTATGACATTGCGGGTGTTTAGTACAGGAGATGTTATTTGGGTGCCATATAAAGTATTTCAGACTAAATGTAGGATTGACGTCACCTACTTTCCCTTTGACCGACAGAAGTGCCAGATAACGATGGTAGCCTGGAACAGTGATGCATTGTCAGTGTCTCTTACAATAGGGACAAACGGCATGCAAATAGATGAAGATATAAATGATGGACAATGGACCTTGTCGAATCCAAGAGCTGATGTCAGAATAGATGATAACCAGTCCTTGATTACGTTTGAATTAATGTTAAAAAGAAAACCAAAAGTCTTCGTTCTCAATATAATGATTCCTATGTTTTTTCTTATAGTTCTAGATGTGTTTACTTTCATAATCCCTAACGATAGCGGAGAGAAAATATCATACTCTGTTGCTGTTATGTTGGCGTTATCTATATTTATGACAGTAGTGACTAGTATACTTCCGCCTACGTCATATTCTACGTCATATCTGGAAATGTATATTATACTTATTTTGGCATTAGGAACTTTGATACTTATTATAACGGCAATCTCTTTAAGAATTCATGAAAGGGGCCAGGATAGAGAAATACCTTTTTGGCTACAGAAATTGATAGTGCTTTCTTGGAAATTAAATTGTCGGTCTCGAAACAATTCAGTTCGGTTTATTTATCCGAACAAAATGGACAGTATAAGTAACAACGAAGTAGAGATGGATGTTAAAAATACGAAGGACACAATGAATATAAATAATAAAGAAAATGAGTCTGTTTTCTGGACTGATGTTACATCAGCGGTAGATTTCTTCATGTTTTGGATATTTTCATTTATTATTTTGATAGCATCTGCTTCTCTGCTTGGACTTGCAGCCTTCAGTTAAACTAACGAAAAATGTATTACAAGTCAGTTTTAAATTAATTCTGGATATCCACCTGATATAATGATGTATTTTCATCTCTCTGATTGTCCTTTGCAGAAAAGTTTTTTTTCATTTAGGATTGAATTAGCTACGTCTTGAATGATATTTAAATTTGTTGTATTAAATCATATTAAACTCTGAATTGAAACCTGGAAAAGGTACGGTGAAGCACAGTACCTTTTTATTTTGCTGTCCCTTTAATGTACATGAAATGTCTTCAATTCTTACAACAATTGTTCATGTACATGTGTATTTTATATTAAATATAGACCGAGTCTTAGGATTTTCTGAGTTAACCAATAAGCTGAAGCATCCATGTATTTCAATCGTTACCAAGTGTTGCTATGAATCTGTGCAGTAAATATTTGCAATATCAACTGGGTTAACATAAAAATCATTACAAAAAATTAGTACTGCTTGCATAACAAATAAAGAAATAAAAAGTTAAATGCATTTTGAATTTCCTTTTATGTTTGTAATTGTTTGGTGAGTTGAGGTTCGAGGTCATTAATCGACTTCAAGATCTTTCATTATCGGAAGGATTTACAATTGTAACCACTCTAATGTTAGTAATAGATAACCACATTGTACCAGTATTATCATTAACAAGCCGTAAAAGGTTACAATTTTCTTGCATTTAGAACCAATTGTTTGTATCTAATTTTCCACCAATGTTTTATTTTATTTTATCATTACTCATTCCTAACTTTAGAATGTACTTTTAATTATATGATAATACTTTGTCTTTAGAAATTAATATGCTTTTACCTTTTTATTAAATGACGATTATTTGACACTATGTCATGATAATTTGAAATTAAGAGCTGATACTTTTTATTAGTTGAGGACACTATGACATAAGTCGATGATACTTTGATAGTTCCCCTGTATTCTAAATATAGTGTATTTACAATTAAAATGGAAACTAAGCAACAAGCAACACAGGATAAACGTTTCATTTATTGAGGTAAAGCAGAGAAATCCACATTCACCCGATAAGATTTCCAATGACGTTTCTGCAAAAGGAACAAGGTAAGTATGATTGCATTTGTAATTTTCTAATCACACTATAGGAACATATTATAACCCAATTCTTTATTCACTCAAAACCAGATTACTGGTACAAGAGGTACATATATACAAACAAAAATTACAGTCAAGGGTCAAGAGATAGAGAAGTATATAAAGAAAAAGAAAGGAGTGAGGAAAACATATAGTCAGTTATATATAAAACACATGGAGGATTCAAGAAGGACAGACAGTTTTAAAAATTTTCTTGATAAATTTTGACAATGATTTTTGTATTTCTACATTATTACTGTTCATTACTTCATTAAATTTGAAAGTGTTGGGATTGTTACAATATCTATTTTAGAGAATTATTTTTCTGTCATTCGAAAAGTACTTGCATTCCATAACATAATGAAATTCATCACCAATAGTTTTACAATCACAAATGGTACATATTCTTAAATCCCTGTCAATATTATGCCATATACCCTTTTCAATTAGCAAATGGTGATTACAATTTGCAGTTTTGTAAGTGTAACTCCTAATTTTTTTTTGGTAAATTCAGCAGATAATTTTCTAAAACAAAGTTTGTTTTAAAAATTCTATAATTAATACACTTGGATGAACTATTAACAATGCTTCTCCATTCTTGTTCAGATTGACATTTTAGGATATCTTTAATGATTGACTTAAGCCAGTTAAAGCTACGAAATGTCTGACTTGTCCATATATAGGGCAATCCACAAGAATTAAGTACATCTTGTACACATATTATTCATGGATATTCAAAAGACCCATCAATATAACATCTATTAAAATATGAATAAATAACATTTGTGAGCTTACTTCCATCGGCTGTTAAAATTTATGCCCAGTACATAACCATTTTTTAATTTTATTAATATTGACAGTGGATATCTACCTGTTTCTCCATACACCATGCAATTTGGGGTACTAGATTTAAAACTAAGCATAAATTTCAGAAATTTTAAGTGTACTTTTTCTGTTATGTCTAAATTTTCATATCCCCAAACTTCCAAAGAATAAAGTAAAATTGGGTTGATGACTTTATTAAATACTCGTAAGTCTTTAGCTGACAATTAATTGATAAATTAAAATATCGAATTTTACGTAAGACTCCTGCTTTTGAAGTTTATTCTGTTAATTTTTTTTTGCATTATTAAACTTTCCACTTCTTGACAGGAATAAACCCAAGTAACAAAATCCTTTCACATTTTCGATAGCCACATCATCATCATGATTATATAAAAAATTACGTTTTATCATTTGACCTTTAGAAACAATAAGGACTTTTGTTTTGGCTATGTTAACACGGAGTTTCCATAAATCACAGTATTTGAAGCAAACACTTCAAGTGACTTTTGTAAATCAGAAGCAGATTCAGACATTAAGACCGTATCATCAGCTTAAAAAATTCATTACAAATTATTCACGTTCTTACTATCGTTGATACCCCGGCATATCAAAAAAAACTAGACAGTGATTCCTTAAATACATGAACCGTCATAATCATCAATTATATATGTATTGATTTCCGCTAATTATCAGTATTCAAATAAGTACATGTATACTCAACTCACTGCTTCTCGCAAATATAATAAGCATCGGTGTCGCAGTCCTCATCATTCCATTGGTAATATAGACTCTGCTCCTTATCCAAACAATTTTCACCGAAAAAGTTGTTCGGTTTACCTGGCGCAAAGTTGGAGTACTGTAGTATTTTACCATCTGGTTCCCAAACCCACGAACCTTCAACTGCCCAGTCAGAGCCCCCGAGCCATGTATTTCTGACTAAAGAGGAAGAAATTAATACATATAAGTCGTGGTCACCTAAAATCTGATTTTGAATTTTATTACAAATTAAAAAAAAATCAATTTTTTCTTATTCGCTACTTGCTGATTTGTATTTTTGTAATAATATTACAGTACTAGCGGAAATATTCAAATGGTCTGTTTACTTATTGAATGTGTTTAATAATGAAAAAAGGTTTAGCAACGAAGCAAAAACAATATTTTAGATCTCCACATCTACAAAGCAGTATGTGTACAGTTGGATAATATCAATTGTTAGTTGAAGCTTAAAAACGTTCCAACAAAATTCTGCAGATGTATGCCAGCCACCATAAATATATATACCGATGTAGTGGGCCCTTTAGCGTGTTGAACTTTTTCATATAAAGACCCTTACCTCAGTTTTTTGCTGTCAATTATTTACGGAAGCGTATTAGTGCCACTTGCACACTTCACTTTTTTTTAATTTCTACACTTTAATCTGTAAATTTTACACTTTAATCTGTAAATTTTACACTTTAATCTGTAAAATTTACACTTTAATCTGTAAATTTTACACTTTAATCTGTAAATTTTACACTTTAATCTGTAAAATTTACACATTAATCTGTAAATTTTACACATTAATCTGTAAAATTTACACATTAATCTGTAAAATTTACACATTAATCTGTAAAATTTACACTTTAATCTGTAAATTTTACACTTTAATCTGTAAATTTTACACATTAATCTGTAAAATTTACACTTTAATCTGTAAAATTTACACTTTGATCTGTAAATTTTACACTTTAATCTGTAAATTTTACAGATTAAACTGTAAAATTTACACTTTGATCTGTAAATTTTACACTTTAATCTGTAAAATTTACACTTTAATCTGTAAAATTTACACATTAATCTGTAAATTTTACACATTAATCTGTAAATTTTACACATTAATCTGTAAAATTTACAGATTAAAGTGTAAAATTTACAGATTAATGTGTAAGTAAAATTTACAGATTAAAGTGTAAATTTTACAGATTAAAGTGTAAAATTTACAGATTAATGTGTAAATTTTACAGATTAAAGTGTAAAATTTACAGATTAATGTGTAAAATTTACAGATTAAAGTGTAAATTTTACAGATTAAAGTGTAAATTTTACACTTTAAAGTGTAAAATTTACAGATTAAAGTGTAAAATTTACACTTTAAAGTGTAAAATTTACAGATTAAAGTGTAGAAATTAAAAAAAAGTGAAGTGTTCAAGTGGCACTAATACGCTTCCGTAATTATTTGACGAAGGAACAGTTACCATTTTTTTTTTAATTTAAGGTCTCGCTAAGAATCGAAAATGAATTTCGAAGGAGAAAAATTATACGTTAATATCTGTCAATCTCATTAAAATTATATCTGTTTTGAAAGTAGAATGAACACTAGCGCATCATAGATATGATTTTGATAATTAACAGGGAATAGCAGTGATCTTTCGAAAATGTACCTTTCATTGTAGTAATATCAGACAATGATAGTCGAAATAAAATGATTAATCAATCATTAAGATATTGAAAACCCGTGAAGTTTTATTGAGAAGAAATGATGACTGGTTGCGTAATTATTGTTCTCTAGAGCTTGATCACGAACTGCAAGAAGGTTAACAAATCTATTTTTTATTGACGAATCTGAACGGAAAAATTATCTCATGAAAAAGGAATAATATCTCGTTTTCGTGAGATAATATTGCTTGAAAACGACTTATTATCTCGTGAAAATGACTAATCTTATTTTCTCGTTCTCACGAGATGTTATAATTTCTGTTCTGACATCATAATTTTTCATAAGCTAAAGAGTCGGCTCACTCTTCTAGAATTATATTTTCAAAGTCATTTCAAGAGTTGAAGTCACTGCCCACAAACACGATTGATAGTGAAACTGAATCATTTTTATACATTTTGAGTGTATAGAATCACAATAGAACTCACTTGAATGTATACGCATTTGTTGAGCTATAAATTCATCTTCTTCTGCTGTCTCTATTTGAACCAAAGTACCACCATGTATTTCACACATTTTCTGTCATAGATAATTAAAAGAAAAAGATATAAATTGCCTGAGCATTATGTAATTTATTCGTTTAGTATCAAGATCAAGTCTTTCCACAATAAAAACATAACCTGAACAATAAAAGGCATATTACCATCCCATCCATCCACGATTCCTCCTCTGATGACACATGATAGCAGGAGTTCTTGAATAGCTGCCACCCTGGTGGACATCCCTCAGCTAAATATAGTTAATATTGAAATATTGAGAGAGAGAGAGAGAGAGAGAGAGAGAGAGAGAGAGAGAGAGAGAGAGAGAGAGAGAGAGAGAGAGAGAGAGAGAAATGTACCTATAGAAATTAGAACTGTGTAAACAAGTATTTTCCTGTAAGCTGACAACATGTTTGTTACGTATTATATCCTATCTTATGATTGCCAGGTCAAAGACAGTGTACTTGCGATTGAAATAAGATAATAATTTAGAATGACTTTTTAACCCCATTTGCGACTCGGAGTGGTAATTTAATTTCTGAAACCTTTTTTGCATATCTATTGAAACCTAACAATAACATAAACAAATAATTTTTGAAACCTCTTGGCTACATAAAATATAAAAAGAGTTACCACGTGGCTGAAAAACGAAATTCCGAAACCTTAATGCACATGTACAGGATCATATTCCAAAACATGAATGGCCAACTGCGAAAAAAATTAGTAGAAGTTCAAGGGAGAACGAGTACGATTTCGTAGAAAACCCTGTTTTGACATGCTTTACCTACATAATTGTCTACAAATTTTCCATTATTTCAAGAGAATGACAATAAGCACAGTGCGGTTGTGACCAGTCGGTAAAATATCCTCACACCTATTCGATCTGATCCAACCCCTTTTATTTTTTTTAGGTCCAAGCTTGCTGTAATCGCGTTTTGTAAAAATGGACTTCGAGTTTTTTTCTAGATAAAAGTAGAGATGTCATCAGATATTGATGCGCGGGCTCCACGATCCCACCTCCGATGTTTTGAAGGTCTGTTCCTATGAGGGCTTCTTGATCCCACCTCCGATGTTTTGAAGGTCTGTTCCTATGAGGGCTTCTTGATCCCACCTCCGATGTTTTGAAGGTCTGTTCCTATGAGGGCTTCTTGATTCCACCTCCGATGTTTTGAAGGTCTGTTCCTATGAGGGCTTCTTGATCCCACTTCCGATGTTTTGTAGGTCTGTTCCTATGAGGGCTTCTTGATCCCACCTCCGATGTTTTGAAGGTCTGTTCCTATGAGGGCTTCTTGATCCAACCTCCGATGTTTGAAGGTCTGTTCCTATGAGGGCTTCTCGATCCCACCTCCGATGTTTTGAAGGTCTGTTCCTTGAGGGCTTCTTGATCCCACCTCCGATGTTTTGAAGGTCTGTTCCTATGAGGGCTTCTTGATCCCACCTCCGATGTTTTGTAGGTCTGTTCCTATGAGGGCTTCTTGATACCACCTCCGATGTTTTGAAGGTCTGTTCCTATGAGGGCTTCTTGATCCCACCTCCGATGTTTTGAAGGTCTGTTCCTATGAGGGCTTCTTGATCCCACCTCCGATGTTTTGAAGGTCTGTTCCTATGAGGGCTTCTTGATCCCACCTCCGATGTTTTGAAGGTCTGTTCCTATGAGGGCTTCTCGATCCCACCTCCGATGTTTTGAAGGTCTGTTCCTTGAGGGCTTCTTGATCCCACCTCCGATGTTTTGAAGGTCTGTTCCTATGAGGGCTTCTTGATCCAACCTCCGATGTTTGAAGGTCTGTTCCTATGAGGGCTTCTCGATCCCACCTCCGATGTTTTGAAGGTCTGTTCCTTGAGGGCTTCTTGATCCCACCTCCGATGTTTTGAAGGTCTGTTCCTATGAGGGCTTCTTGATCCCACCTCCGATGTTTTGTAGGTCTGTTCCTATGAGGGCTTCTTGATCCCACCTCCGATGTTTTGAAGGTCTGTTCCTATGAGGGCTTCTTGATCCCACCTCCGATGTTTTGAAGGTCTGTTCCTATGAGGGCTTCTTGATTCCACCTCCGATGTTTTGAAGGTCTGTTCCTATGAGGGCTTCTTGATCCCACTTCCGATGTTTTGTAGGTCTGTTCCTATGAGGGCTTCTTGATCCCACCTCCGATGTTTTGAAGGTCTGTTCCTATGAGGGCTTCATCCAACCTCCGATGTTTGAAGGTCTGTTCCTATGAGGGCTTCTCGATCCCACCTCCGATGTTTTGAAGGTCTGTTCCTTGAGGGCTTCTTGATCCCACCTCCGATGTTTTGAAGGTCTGTTCCTATGAGGGCTTCTTGATCCCACCTCCGATGTTTTGTAGGTCTGTTCCTATGAGGGCTTCTTGATACCACCTCCGATGTTTTGAAGGTCTGTTCCTATGAGGGCTTCTTGATCCCACCTCCGATGTTTTGAAGGTCTGTTCCTATGAGGGCTTCTTGATCCCACCTCCGATGTTTTGAAGGTCTGTTCCTATGAGGGCTTCATGATCCCACCTCCGATGTTTTGAAGGTCTGTTCCTATGAGGGCAAAATCCCAAAAATGTTTTGATGGTCTGTTCTTTGAGGGCTTCTTGATCCCACCTCCGATGTTTTGAAGGTCTGTTCCTATGAGGGCTTCACGATCCCACCTCCGATGTTTTGAAGGTCTGTTCCTATGAGGGCTTCTCGATCCCACCTCCGATGTTTTGAAGGTCGTTCCTTGAGGGCTTCTTGATCCCACCTCCGATGTTTTGAAGGTCTGTTCCTATGAGGGCTTCTTGATCCCACCTCCGATGTTTTGAAGGTCTGTTCCTATGAGGGCTTCTTGATCCCACCTCCGATGTTTTGAAGGTCTGTTCCTATGAGGGCTTCTTGATCCCACCTCCGATGTTTTGAAGGTCTGTTCCTATGAGGGCTTCTTGATCCCACCTCCGATGTTTTGAAGGTCTGTTCCTATGAGGGCTTCTTGATCCCATCTCCGATGTTTTGAAGGTATGTTCCTATGAGGGCTTCTTGATCCCACCTCCGATGTTTTGGTGCTCTGTTCCTTTTTTGTATTGTTTAAAGGACTTCTGATGTTGAATATTGTTCGTTATCTCCATATGTTTCAATTAGACCTTAACACGGCACTGATGGCCACAGAACAATGAGAGATCTTGGTTTTGCAAAGAAATGGTCTCTTAAAAGTACAGTTTACGTCCATCTAAACAATCGATCTGTTATCAAATCTGTGTCCATAATGACAATCATTAATTTATTTGAGTTCTAATTATTTAGAGATTCGTTACTGAGAATGACTATATATAATTCATATATATAAATAAAAAAAAATGTTACCCCTTTCATAACTTCACAAAAATATATTTCGAACGAGTACAAAATTTGAGGTCAATTTGAATTTGAATTCGATTTACCAATAGATGATTGAATGTATAGGCTCAAATTTTTCTTAAAAAGAAAGAGCAACTGGAAAATAATTGAATCATGTAATGCGTATTTTCAATTTTTTTTCAACACCAGGAGATTAGAGATAAAAATAAAGGAAGATTTTTGAATTTTAGCGATTTTAAAGTAATTGTAAATTGTGCCAAATCAAAAGGCTCAAGTAAGAAAAAAATCATGTATAACTGAGTCAAAATCCACTATCAACATACTGAGAGTGTCTCTTTACTTGCAGAAATTATTTTTTTAAAAAATAAACGCATTATCTGGATATAACACATAATGATATTTTCTATCATCAACTTCCCTTACTTATGCAGCAATATGCCTTCATCACCTCCATACAGAGTTTATATATATCTCAGTTGATTCGAAACGCAAGAGCATGCTCTACGTATGAACAATTTCTAAAACGAGGTAAATTATTGACAAACAAGTTGATAAAACAAGAATTTCAGCTGTCTCATTTAAAGTCATTTCATTTCGTAAATTTTATGGTCGGTACAATGACCTTGTCAGCTAATTCAATTCATCATTGAGTCAAATGCTGCTTACTTTCATACTTATTGCAAGTCCATTATTTATGCACTGAATTGACGATGGATTTTTTCCGTTTCCCGATCATGACAAGGAGCACACTGCGGGTGTGACAGGTCGGCAGGGGATACTTACTCCTCCATGGCACCTGATTCCACCTCTGATGTGTTAGAGGTCCGTATTTGCTCTGCTCATATTTTGTATAATTTTATAAACTTTTTTCTTGAATACAGTTCGTTATTTCCATATGTTTCATATTAGATATAGCAATATCCTCAATAATTTTCATTTTGTTACATAGACCTTGATATATTAAAACAAGCAAGTATCAAGTATAATACTGCCTCAGTAAATTGTGTACCTATAAACTGAAGTGCTTTCAACATCAATGAAGTGCTTTCAACATCAATGTTGTTTATTCGTGTTTAATTGTTTGCTAGGAATTTCTAATATTTGTAATTGAAGTATTAACTACATGAACGCGGAATTCATTACAAAAAAATTACCTAACAGAATAAAAGCTATTGGAAAAAGTTAATTGATTTTTTCCTGGTTTGCTGATTATATATTTGATGAATTAACGTTCGAGTCTCGTAGTAAATATCAAATCCATTGTCTTTTGAGAGAACATTAAGAGTTTTAAATCATCCTTTTGGAGGAAAGATTCAAAATTATTACTTTTGTCGTAAATCAGTAGTAAGATACTAGTACATTGTGTACTGTGGTGTCATCAATTGTCGATGCCATCAATTTTGTAAAACAGACGTTTTCTAGGATACGTAATTTCATGGACTAAAGCATGGCCTATACAAATGAATATCGTATTTTTCTCAATTCAGTGAACATTGAATTTCTTGGATCTGCTCAACAACGAATTCCTCGAAAATTGGTGCTCAACGAATATTGATGAAACCACAGTATTATGAAATGTATCCAGTAATTAGAATTGATAATCAATATTCAAATATTCTGGCAACCGATGATTTTAATTAACAACTGTTCTTATTATTTTGTTCAACATAAAATTCAGTTTTGTTAACTTAGGATATCCGACCCATATTAGCTTCAGATTCAATAAAATTTAATTTATAACAGATATGTTGAGCTGAATACTCAATATATTTTGTCATTGGTTTCATGTTTTAGAATATGTATGAAGATGCCCTAGTTAACGACCTGAATATCACGATAGTTTTTAATCGTTTCTCTATTGATACTACTCAAATACTTCTTCCCATCACGGTATTTATTGATATTTGAATTTTTTT